TCTGCCTTCCCTTCTCCAGCTAGTGAACTCCTGCCTGTGCTTCAAAGCCCAGTCTGCATACTCCCATTTAGGACTCTCCTAGGCAGAAGCCAGGGCATCTTCCTCTGTTCCCTCAACACTTTCACATATTTTATAGAGGGCTCTTCATGCTGCGGTTTCAGCAGACGGTTTACATGTCTGAGTACCAGCTCCACAGACACTGGAGGAGGTTTGCTGCACGAGAGAAAATGAGCAGGCCTGGGACGAGAAAGTGCTGATTCCTGGCTCCTGGGCACCCCTGTGGCAGCAGCATCTACACAGACATTCCTGGAAGGAAGAGGTGGGGAGGGCTGGGCTATCTCTTCCCTTGCACTTGGAACAGCCGCTTTATTTGGAAGAAATAACCAATTCTCATTAAGGGTCTTGTCATGCCCTAATTAATTTCCCTGATCTGGCTATATTGATCCCGTCTCTGTGCAAAGCTGTAGTGTTACCACTAATGAAACGCCAAGCCGGTGAGGAGCTGGAGCTCCCGCCCTCTTTAATTTAGGGAACCATTAGCAGCGTTCTCCATCATCACAATTACTGGGGCCTACTTCCTTCCTTCCCTGCGGTGAAACTTAGAGAGAAACTTGTGCAGCTAACTGCATGTTAGAGGGTGTTACAATTTTTCAATAGGAAGGAGGAAAGAAGAAAGATCCTTGCATCTTTGCAATCTGGAACTAATGGAGCAGGGATTCATGGGTCTTTCAATTCTCCCTTTCATTGCTTTCTTTCTTTCTTTCTTAATTTTCTGGGGGCAAGAAGGGCCTACTACAAACTGCACTTTGGTACAGCTATGCAAAAAAGAGCTAAAAATGACAGCTGTGAAGATGACGTGAAGTGAGCAAGGATAGGAGAAGCCTGGGGGTCACTTCTGATGGGCCCCTTCTTGTTGGTTGACCACGAGTGAGCACAACAGTCTGATGGCACCAGCGGAGGGTCGGGGAAATAACCACAGGTCCGTGGGGCTCCCTGGGTGCCAGGCATGGCGACAAACATGTAAGCCCTGCCACAGCTGTTAGTCCCCTTCTCGAGGAGAAAACTATGGCACAGAGAGGTTAAGTCACTGCACAAAAGTCACTCAGCTGGAAGATAGCAGAGCCGAAACTTGGGTCCTGGCAGCCTGGATCCCGGGCCTGTGCCCCATCTGCTACACCCGGGGGACACCAGGGAATCCCTCCTGCCCAGGAACATCTCCTCTGGGGGCTGCAAATCTTGCACCCAGAAGAAGAAGGGTGGCACCCCTTGATCTGGAGTCTTTCCCAGTTCTAGCCAGCTTTGATTGTAGTCAAATTAACAGCATAAACAAGATTTATTAGGCTCTTAATTACCTTTGTTACACTGATTTGTATACAGACAATGTGCTAATCACAAATTGCTTTTTTAACCACTCATTAAAAGTCTGGGAAAAGAAGGCAGAAATACTTAGTTGGCATCAAGTCCAGGTCACTACAGGGACCTGGAAAGTGTTCCACTGATCGGGCCCTTGCCTGGGACCTCGCCAGGCCTCCCTGCTCTTGTGTAGCTTTCTGGACACCTTCTGTAAGCACAGAGGACAGCACTGCTTATGGCCAGGGGCGAGGACAGAACATGGTGTGAGTGTAAAGACTTTGACAAACTGTGGATAATCACTGCTCCTCATAAGCAGAGTTACCCTCAGAAACAGCAGTGGGCTCTGATGGCCTGACCCTTCTCTGACATCCTGCTCCTGGTACTGAGCATCGTTACGTCCCCATGGGCAGGGAACCACCATGGGGCTCAGCGAGGTCAAAGGCCTTGTTTGGAGGCACAGCCCTGGATGGAAGAGCTCAGGCTCGGACTCGCAGCCTCAAGCTGTGGCACGGAACCTCCCTGGCCTGCAGTGGGCGTGACTGATGTCCAAGCTACAGAAATGCTGACGAGGACGGATTCAAGCAGCTTCCTGACTGTGAAAATTCTCGACTTTCTCTTCCATTTTCTTTCCTTCTGGTTTGGGGAATTACGTTAGGGACTTAAAAGCTGATGGAGCCCATTGGAGTTTCCCTGGAAATGAGGGGTTTCTCTCTTGGAGAAATTCAGGAAGATTACAAGGAGAGACCAGCTAACGTATAATCATTCAGCTACACCGCGTCCTCGGAACAGCCCTGGGCGTAGGGAAGGGACTTAGACACCGACCCTCCTTCAACCTATGATGCTTCTTTCGGGTCTCAACTGTCCCACTATAAAACGGGAAACCGGGTAAGCTATGGGTCAGAACGGTGGATGACCCTCTTCCAAAAAGACCCTCCAAATCGGGTTAACAAACAGACACCACCTCACTGATCTCGAACAGCAGCAGGGTGGGCACCAGAGCACCGTGCGTTGTTTAACGCCCCCCTGTGCCCCTTATTGGCTGTGTTCTTGGGCAAGTCCCTTTCCCACTCTGGACCTTTTCCCTCACAGTTCTGCCATTCCCAGTGCAGGGAATGTGGTACTACCCAGAAAGCCCACCACCTCACTGTGCTCCTGGTGGGGGGGCGTCGTTCCATGCAACTGATGGGTTGTCCACCTATACTTAGAAAGTCTTCCAGCCCACACAGCTCTCCCTTCTCTGACAGACCACCTAAGGCCCAAAGAATAAAAGCCAGACTGGCCTTCAAGCCTCAGACCACCTGCTTGGCATTCACTCATTTTCTGGCTCTACAAGGAGCCGACCCATGGCAGTTGCAGACGCAGGAGGGCACTGGCTGCTGACCAGTGGCTCTTTGGGCCACAGCATTTCTTAGGAAAGCCAGTTTGAACTCACAGAACACACATGCCCACTCTTAACGTAAGTCCTTCAGGGTCAAGACCCCTCCTCTTCCAGGCAGCCTCCCTATCCTCCTCCTTCTGAACCCCACAGCCCGGTGACCTGTCAGCTAACCCTAACACTGCCTTGATCTGCCAGCTCCCACTTTTGCCCCAATCAGTCTTATTTCCCCAACTAGCTGGATTCAGCTCCTTGGGCACAGACAACCCTCATTGCTGCTCAACCTTAGGACCGAACAATCTCGTGCCTTCGCTCAACTCAGCGAAGACCTGGCAAAGGGCTGCCTGTGGTCCAGATCAGTCGTGCTCAGTGGCTCGAATGATCTCGGTCAAGCAGGTCTGCAGCAGGTCTCTAGTGGGGAGCCGCAGGGCTCTGGCCTGTCATCAGCAACAACTTTACTGAAATGGTTTGGAAGACAGAAGGCTGGGAAGAGCATAACCAGTGGGATGATGGGAGGCAGGACAATTTCTGGAGGGATGGATGGCTGGGCCAGAATTAATGAGCTCAAATTTCACAAGGGCAACTGCAAAGTATGTCACTTAAGTTAAATTCAGCTACAACCTGTGCTCGGCGGCTGGGTTCAGGTGAAGATGACCTGAGGCTTTCAGCTGAACCAAGAGTAAGGAGTGGAAGACAGGAGGAGGCAGGTTTTGCCTCTAGTGCAGTGGTACTCAACCAAGGATGACACCCCTGAAAACTCGGCGGCTGGGTTCAGGTGAAGATGACCTGAGGCTTTCAGCTGAACCAAGAGTAAGGGGTGGAAGGCAGGAGGAGGCAGGTTTTGCCTCTAGTGCAGTGGTACTCAACCAAGGATGACACCCCTGAAACCCCTCCCCAAATAGTGAGGGTGCTTTTGCTGCTACAATGTTTGGTGGTGTGGGGGCAGTCATTTAAAGAACAGAGTGGGCCCTACAAAGTCCTGCACCATGAAAAGTTATCCTGTGTAAATGCCAAGCCCCCTGAGAAACATGCCACAGAAGGGAGGCATGTGAAGCTGTCAGCCACCAGACCCGGGGTCCAGGGAGATAGCAACTCTGGGAGGTGGTGGGTTTGCTGTGGCACACAGTGCTTCTGACCGAGGCAGGCAACCACATGTCAGGGGCAATCCTGCCCAGGCAGGGCACTGGACTTAATGAGTGCTAAGGTCCTTTCTGGTTCCAAGAGTCAACAAGCCTTTAATTCAATTTATACAGCATGGTTGACACCCATGTTCTCGGCAGTGCCTTGGTGTGACCTGGGTCTGCCTGCAGCGTGCTCTGGGCTGCGGGCCCCTCAGTCAGGCTGGATAATGAGAGCTGAGCTCTGACTGCAAATGCCTCTCCTGGTCATTAGTGAGGACACGCACAGGGAGGGCAGACAGCATGACAGGCCCTGCTGTTCCAGGGTCAGCCTGCTGAGCACTTGGAGAGAGCATCCCCAGCTCAGCAAGGGACTCGCGAGATAATTAACTGAGGGAATTGCCAGTCCTGACCACATGCTCCTCCTGAGGCTGGCACGGGGCAGACTGGCCGATGTCTTGGTGTCTGGCTGTCCCCAGCAAGCCCAGTCCTGCCTGTACCCCTGGGCTTCTGGCGGACCTAGCCCAGCCTCACTGGCTCCAGCTTCACTTGGAGGTGGGACCACCAGCCCTGTGGCCTTCATGAGACCCTGTCAGCCACTCATGTCCCTGGATTTGCCAAGACCCTGCTCAGGAAAGAGAGAAGGCCCCGAGTTCAGGATTTCTTTTTGTATTTTTTTAAAAGATGACCGGTAAGGGGATCTTAACCCTTGGCTTGGTGTTGTCAGCACCACGCTCAGCCAGTGAGCGAACTGACCATCCCTATGTGGGATCCGAACCCGTGGCCTTGGTGTTATCATTACCGCACTCTCCCGAGTGAGCCAAAGGCCGGCCGGCCGAGTTCAGGATTTCTAACTTTCCACCAGAAGCCTAGAACCTGACAAAGAAACAGCTCCTGACCAAAGGGACAAAGCCGTCAGATTGCATAAACCTGGTGCTGTCAACATGTTTAGATGGGGAAGAAACAGCGTTCACCATGAGGATTTAAAAACTGCATTTTAGAAAATGTAATATCCTTATGGCTGCTCAGAGGCCTCCACCCCAGTTCTTCCACCTCAGGGGCGCTTCACTGGAGACATGAGGGCCCACGGAGTGGCTGCTCAGTGCCCACCCAAGCAGCCTGGGCCCGCCCCCTGGAGGCGTGTGCCCACTCACCTGTGCGACAGAGTGGGTTTCATGGAGCTCATGGAGTTGAGGGGGGGCTGCATGGGGAGTTTCCCAGGGGGGTCGTTCTGGCGGCTCTTCTGATGTCGGAGCAGCAGCAGGCGGCCGAGCTCCTCACACCAGGACGACAGCAGGGCTGCAACGAGAAGGGCACGGTCAGTGGGCGCCTCGGCCACCGCGCCCTGCCACACCCGGCCCCCACCTCACCCGTGTGTCTGCCCAGACACTGGCAAACCCCTGCAGTGGGTGCCCAGCACATATCTGCTGTGGCTGGAGGGCAGCAGCCTATTCCGAGAGGCTGGAACAAACAGAAATGAGTTTCCAGATCATTCCATTCTTCTCCCAGGCCCTAGTTACTGCTTCTTGTGCGGGGGAACTGGGCATCTGGAAACTCATTTGCACGCCAGGCACGAGGCCCGCGGATTGCAGTGACGGAGGGATGGCTTGGCTGCCAGCACAAAGGACAGCCGCAGATGGTGCCGCCTGCTGCCCGCCCTTCCTCTCCTCTCCCCTCCCCTCCCAGCCCTAGCTCCTCTGGGGGCCGGCCGTGCAGCGCAGGGGGGCGGGGGCATCACGGGGATGGGATTTGGGGCTTTCCTCCAATGTCATGGGCCACCCCTGCTCGGCCAAGGACAGCCCTCGCTTTCCTACCGCTAGTGGAGTGGTTCTCTTGTGAAGGGAATAAGAGAAGGCCAGCTGCGTGGTGGGCCTACCTGTGGGCGTGGTGTGCACTGAGCAGGCATAATATGTGCATTAGGCATCAGGCAGTCAGGACAGATGCCTGGAAGGCCCCATTGCTACCACCAAGAGGGAAGGGGGAGAAGCAGAGAGGTCTGAGCAGCCACTTAGCCCTGACTCTGCCCCTCGCATGGAGGGCAGATGTGGTGCGTCTTATCACAGTACAGACCAGTCCTAGTTGTTCTGAAGCACCCGCTGGTTCATAACAACATAATGGAATCTGCAGCCAAAAATGGAGTCTGGCCGCTGTCAGGACCAGGAGGCCGACAGGGACAGACGGAGGCAGTCAGGGATTATGGAAGGACAGACAGTGACACCGGCTGGGCGGTGTCTGGGTGTGCCGGGATCGTGGCCATCACACACTGGCCAAGCTGGGAAGGCCTGCCTGCTCTGATCAGGCGTCTTCTGCACGCCTCTTTGACCTGCATGCCTTTGGCCTGTGTACTCACTGGGTGGAGCATAAGCAATCCCAGGATGGGGTGGGAGGGACGGGAAGGCCTGGAATGGTGTGTGCACAGTGCACTTGGCCATGGGAGGGCAGTTTCAGTCCCAACCTGGGCCCTCCTCTGCAGCAGGCAGGGTCAGGAGTGCCCCTTCACAGTCTGGGCAGCCAACGAGGCCAGCCTGCTCTGTCCTTTAAGCCCCACTCACTGGGGGTAACAAGGCTGGTCCCAAAGCCCCCATTTTGCACAGAGAACCCCAATTTTCAAATAAAAATAGCAGCTAGGATCCCGTGTTTCCTTCCCCCTTAACAAAGCTTAGCTCACTTGGCCTCAGGACAGCCTTGGGGAGTGCGTGTGTCTCTTTCCTCTGTCTACAGGACAGTCGGCCTTCCACCTGCTGCTCCTGTGGCAGCAGCCCTGTGTACACTTCACTTGCACAGCTGTCACCGAGTGCCTTTCACACCCATGGCCACCCTCTGCGGGGCTGGGCATTCTGACTCCTGGCTCCGTTGCTTCTTTCCTTACAGAACTCATACTTCTTCAAGGCTCGTCTCTAACGATGCTTCCTTCAGGATGCCTTCCCCGTCCCCTGCCAAAAGTGTTGACGCAGCCCACCAGGGCACCAGTGCCTGCAGCACACCCAGGAAAGGTGGGAGATGGCGGACAGGCTGTGAGGAGCAATGGCTAAACTCAGTGGCCCTGGAGTCCCATCAGCTGTACCCAAGGATGTTATGGCTAAGGCGGCAAGAATACAGGCTGCCCACGGCTGCCCATCTGAAACAAATGGAAACGAGCGAACGCCAGGTGAGGATCAGGGGGCACAGGATGCAGGTCTGAGGGAGGGCACTGAGGAAGAGCCACATTCCCAACATTTGCTCCCCAAGATCCTTCCAGCAACTCCCCTGCAGCCAGCAGCAGCCACACTGTCCTTCAGGGAAAAGAAAAATGAAACCAGATGTAAGGGAGAGGCAGGCCCGGAGTGAAGTACCCTGGATGGTTTAGTCCTGGCCTGCCCCAGACATGCCCTCGCTGGGGGCAGTGACAGGCCCTGTATTTGCCTCTGTACCTGCAGCTCCCAGCAGAACAGAGGCCCAGGACGGCCTAACCACATGGGAGGAGACAGAAGGCACAAGCTGCATGGCCCTTATGTGGGAAGTGCCTGGTGCCAGGGAGGGAGGAAGGAGCTGTACGTTCCAGACCAGCAAGTGACCAGCCTTTGTTAGCTGACGACGCTGCGGTCCGGTCTGAGTGGAGGGGAGGCAGAGGCTGGGTTGCGAGTTGGAGCACCAGAGGGAGCAGACGTGCTCATCTGGGCACACGGGACTCGGGCTTGAGGAGGAGCAGAAACCAGAGGCAGCCACGGTGGCCAACGGGAAGAAGGCGTTCCCGGGAGCTGAGCAGGGGAAGTCTGCACAAGGAAGGCCTGGGATGCTCATTCCCAGTAGCATCTGGGATTCAGGAGGGGATAGGAGCAGCGGTGGCGGCATGGAGGGAGGCTGGAGAGGGAAGAAAGGCAGCCTGGAGGAGGGCACGGAGGCATGGACGCGAGGGCCGAGCAGGAATTATCAGACGCGCTGCAGCGGGGCAGCCCCGCGCAAAATGAAACAAATCCGTGTGCATGTGTGCATGTGTGTGTGCGGGCATGCGTGGGGGGGCGTGTCTGTGTGTGCGCGTGCGTGCGTGGGCGTGGGGGGGCCGTGCGTGCATGTGTGTGTGTAGTGGGAAGGGGGACAAGCTTCTGAGACCCAGGGATGGGGCAGGACTCCGAGGTGCCCAGGGACGGGGAAGAGGCCTGAGAGGCAGAAGCGGTGGCATGTGGAGCAGAGGCCTCTCACCTTCAAACCACGCCCTAGGGACGGGGGGGGGGGGGGGCAGGAAAAGGCGGGGGGGGGGGGGGGGCCCCCCCCCCCCCC